GATTCAATCGCATTAAAAACTACTATTAAACCAATAAATTAAAGGAAACTTCAACGAAAAGTTCATAGTATTGTTCATTTTAACGAAAAACCATATTTTTACTCCAAAAAATCAATCATGATACTATTCACTTACAACACATTTTTGTTATTTTTGTTAAAACTCAAAGTTTTCAAATCTTTTTCATTAGTTTTCATTAAATTAAAAACTTAATTTCTTTGAAACCAACCAAGTTTATTAGAAACTAGGTGTGGAGGGCTGCAAGGACGGAGCTAGGATTTTTTTCATGGGTTGGGCTAGTGAAAATAGTACCATAAAATCATATGTTTATTTATTTTTTGCTTATATAAAATTATATAATAATCAATATAGAAGAACAACAATATAATATGAACTATTATCAAAATCATAACCCTAACCGATAAATTCAAGGACCATATAAATAATTAACCTACTAATTAAATCAAGAATAAGTAAACAAAGAGATTAAGAACGTACAAAAGTGACATTCATTTGAAAATCGCAATGGAAAGTAAGGAATTGCGGAGATAGGGATTTAATTGTGGATTTAAAGAAATTATTTTTCTTTTCTTGAGTAAGAAGCACAGAAGCTAAATTACATAGGGTAAATGATATTTTTCTTTAAAGAATAGGATAAAGGGGGACTAGAGATAGAACTAATTTATAATTTTTAGCATAAAACGTATTATTTACTACCTATCCTTTACCAACTATACATCAAATAATAATTTGTATTGAAATTGAGTAGGCTATAAGCATGAGTTTACAAAAGAATAGATCTATTTACAAACACTTTTTTACTTCCAATACAGCCTTATTAATTTTTTGTCAATGATCATCTTTAATTCATTCGATCCAATAAAAGAAAATTGAGAGGGGTGTGTGAGAAGTAAAAACGAGTGCATGGATAGCGCTACCCTTACAGAAAACCTCCATGGGCTACAGCCCACCTTAGCCTTGTGAGTGGCTACGCCACTGGAGTGCTGGTGACTTTGTGGAAATCAAACACCCTTGTGGTTTTCTTCAATCAAGTTCGAAGGCTCCTTATCTCCTTTTTCTCTCTTCCTTTTTATTATCCCATCAAACTATTGACAAAAAAAAAAAAAAAGACTTGATATGGATCCAATTTTGTGAGCCACTTTTGAGATGAATCCAATTATATTCTATGTTAGCTTTCTATCATTTTCATACACAATTTACCCCTCAAAACACTTGTAAATAATCAATATTATCCCTTAATTTTATGATTTGGATTTGTGATGAATTTTGACTATTTAAGGTTTAAAGAATAAAATTCCCTTAATGCTAGGGCAATTGTTGAAATTAAATTACTTCCTACATATTAAATTTGAAGATAACGAATTTATAGAACATGTTTGAGTCCTACTTTTCTACCTGTGAGGACCAAATAGCCACAAAATTATCCAAAGGTCTAAATATTTGACAACTTAATAAAGCAAAACAAAAAAGAGTTTTCTGGTTTATGGATTTTAAGTTGGTTTTGTTTTATTAAGTTGTCAAATATTTTAAGACTTTGGATTTTAACTAATATTATCTTGTGCCTAATATGCATTTAGTAAACTAATATAATATTGTGGCTAATATGCATTCTTACGTATTTTCTTCTTTGTGTGAATTCGTACTTGAATTTGTAGGTAAAAAATTACTTCCTATATATCTCCAAGTGAGGGTTTGCCTATTTCTTTCTTCTTCAGTTTTCTATTCTTCCATTTTTCTTCTTGTTATATAAAACTCTTTTCTTGGTTAGGATTTAATATTTGCCTTGCTAATCTTCTTCTTTGTGTTTTTCTGCCTCACGATGTCATTTTAATTCCAGTTTTTTTCCTCTCCTTCTAGGCTTCCACTATATATATATATATGAAATTTGATTGTGTTTGATCCAAGAATGGAGGTTGATTGATTTTTTTTTTTTATCAAATTCCTTGTTCTTCATTTGAGTTGCATTTCCACCCAACCATGGCCGATATTCATCTACCTATATCACAGGATTTTGTTGTATGGCCTACTTCTATCATAGACAAATTGTATTTTTCTGTTTTTAGTATCTATCTCTATCACAAATTACCTCTTGTTTTCTTATGTTACGTGGTAATTTGTCTTGCTTATAGGTATGTAAATTATGTATTTGTACCTTTTAGTCGGGTATTTACCTATTGATTAGATAGACTTCATACCATTTGTTTTCTCATACTTTGTTTGATATTTTGCTTATAGTTATATGTCTACTTATGTATTTGTACCTTTTAGGTAGGTTGTATATTTTTGCAAGTGGATCAGTGGTAAAAATATTTAATTTTATTAAAAGGCAAAGAATTGAAACATTTTTCTAGATATCGAGTAGATTGGAGATGCTTAAACATTCAAAATTTGAAAACAAAAGGTAAAATAGGTCTAAAAAAAAAGTTAAATGAACCTAAATCAGAAATTTCAAAAAATTGGACGAAAATCAATAGTACGTCAATTTTTGGACCTATATATTATTGCCAAATTTGTTTTTAGGGAGACTTTGGATGCGGTCCCTAGTTATGAATAGTCTTTGACTGAAACCTTGTTGGTTTTCAATTTTTGATCCAAGTCCCTGAAATTAATTGATAATTTATTTCTATGTACGTTACTATATTTTTTAAATTAAAAATTAAAATTTATAGTTGTTTATAGTAATGAGATTTTAAATAAAAAACCATAATTTGTGGGATTAAAAATATTAAAATATAAATATACTATTGTGTGTGTGTGTGTGTAAACATGGGTACATTCATAAAAAATAACCAAAAAATTATTGTATCAAAACATGGGTACATTCTTCAAAATGGATACATTTAGCAAAAATAAAAATGGGTACAAATAAATAAAAAAATATGGGTACAATACAAATAAAACTTTAAAAAAAATATGGGCACAAAAAGAAATTAATATATGGGTACAAATTAAAACTGAAAGGAAAATTGGTACAAATTAAAAAAGGGTTGCAAATTAAAAATGGGTACAAACTAAAAATAAAAATATATGATAAAAAATTTAGCCATAAATATAAATATACTAATTGTAATATTTTTAATATTAAATGAATATATTTAGAAATAAAAAATATTTTATTATTGAAATAATTAATGATATTATTAATACAAAGGACCTTGATCAAAAATTGAAAAGTAATAAGGTTTTAATCAATAGAGTAGTAAAAATAAGGATGAAAACCTAATTACTCCTTGTTTTTAACATAAATTAGAATGGTCTTGAATTTGTAGGTGCAGGCCCATGCACGTTGTTATAAAAAAAAATTTCCTGTAATTAGGCTGTTTGCATTGTTTGCATGTTCAACTGTTTGGTTCCTAGAGATTTTTCCCATTTTTGCCTAACTTTGGGGTGGGCTGAAAATTTAATGAGTTTAGAACAACTCCACTCTTAAAAACCCTCTAGTCAAGAGTTAATTCAATTCAATCAAATGAATGTAATTGACTGCAATGAATAGTAACCATCCAAGTACTTCTTCACTCCTAAACTGAATTGTCTAGTCATTTCGTATTAAAATATTATTAATTTTTTTAATAAAATAAGAGAAAATAATTTTATTTTTAATATTGGATAGGATTTTTAACCAATTTTGTCACCGCTACGTGTCATTATCCGAAAATACAATTTTTGTGGATAGATTTTTAGGTATTTATAGAAAGAAAAAACAAAAGTTACGTTTGATTTTTTCTGTATTTTTATAATTTTTTATTTATTAAGATACTTAACCTGGAATGTTGGATTTCAAAAAGATTGAAATCCAACCGCCCAAAATTGGACACATGGCCAACGGTCAGATTTTTGATATTTTCGTTTGTTTAGGCCGAAAAACCTAGACTGTTGATCTGAAAATCGAACTGTCCAGATTTTGCCACATCACAAGCCGTTGGATTTGAATTTCACAATATTTTTTATTGTTGGAAATCCAACAGTATAGAAAACTAGCATTTGGAAATCCATCAGCTATCATCGCGCCACGTTGCGTCTGTCCCAAAGCTCCATATGCGCCTATCAGCATGGGCCCCCCTCTACATGTTGTCGGGTAACGCGCGCCAACTCCTGTGTGATTCCCACACGCCTTAAAAAAAAAAAAAAATTGTGCATGTGGCTAACGTCAACTCAGCTGGGTAAGGGGTCAGTCGATTTTAACTTTTTTTTTATGGTGGAGGGGGGGGGAGGGTGGGCTAGTGCCTAGTTAACTAAGCGAGGGGTAGACTTGCTATGTTTTTTGGGGGGGGGGGGGGGGGTAGTGAGGGGGGAGGGTGGGCTAGTGCCTAGTTAACTAAGAGAGGGGTAGACTTGCTATTTTGGGGGGGGTAGTGCCTAGTTAATTAAGGGAGGGGTAGACTTGCTCTTAGAGCGAGTCTATTGGATAGGGCAAGGCTAATGGCTAGAGGCTTTAGTTAGTCTCTTAAAATATCATTATTCATGAAATTAACATAAGGAAAAATAAAAATTGTGGTACCCTTTACTTTTCACCGCAAGCTACTCTCCCTTCACTAATCCCATATCAAAGTGGTACGACATGTGTTGCCTAAAGAATGAACAAGTTCCATATGAATTTTAAAGTTTTTATTTGTTTATAAATTTATCTTTTTCAATTCATGAATTTGGCTTTATTTCATTTGTCGAGCACCACCAAGTCCATGAAATGGGGAAGCACTTTCACAAATGTCCCATCTTCCTCTACAGTCTATATAATATATACATCTTGATCCAACTTTCATATATTGGACTGTCCCAAAGTTTTTAGCTCTTATGATGATACATGTTTTTTTTCCTTTTTACCGGACTTTTTTTTATAGATCAGACGAATGAAAAGACAATTAAAATTCATAATTAAAACGCGTGTACAAAAAGTGAAAAAAAGTGCATAAATCATTCTAAAAAAAATATCCCAAAAATGTCACCAGGGAGAGCCAAACTTTTTTTTTTTCCTTTTTTCCCCTCATCTAGACTAGTTTTGTTTAATAATTGTTTACTCATTTACTTATATGATCGTTTATCACTCTCCAGTGTACTTTCGATCCTCTATAAAAACGTCAAGCCAGGCAGAGCCAAACTTTTCGGAACCTCCAGCCCCAAAGTTATGGCAATGCCATTAGGCTTTCTTCTGTTAGCTTTGGTGCTACTAATTGCACTGACAAATAGCAACGATGCTGTCACAATTCCACCCAATTACGACACCGTCTTCCTCAACAGAAGCAGCTTTCCAGCCGGGTTCATATTTGGCACGGCTTCATCATCTTACCAGGTGAGTCCTGCCGCGACTTAATATTGCTCTTTAATTTGTATTTTACTTCCTTAAGCATTCTTGTAATGTCAGACCAAGCATCAATTCATGAACCTTGACATCTTCATTTGTGCTCTTATGTGTTGAGAGCTCATACATGCATGCGTAATAGTTTAAGAGATGTTTTGCCCTTTCTACTCCTTACCGATTGGTTTTTGTTTGAATGCTTAAAGTTTAGCACGGTATCAGAGCATATTATCAACGTGTCGGCTTTACCCCGGGTTTAGAAAGTGAAACCAACTGGTTTTCAGTTAGAATTTGCTAAAATTCTTGCGTTGTGTTTGAGTTTAATTTTTTCAGTATGAAGGTGCTGCAAAAGGAGGTGGAAAAGGACCAAGCATATGGGATACCTATACCCACAAATATCCAGGTCTGTCTGATCAAGTAATCAGTTGAGATATGAAAATTATGCTACTTCATCCTATCTCTTCTTCTTTTTATTAATATTTTAATGTCTCTGCCTCTGCTATCAATGGTTCTCTCGTCCTAGCTAATCTTACTGTAAATCACTTTTTGGCTTCAACTAGCTAGCTACTGGTGCATGGTGCCGTTTTGCTTTAATAATTTAGTGAAAATTAATAGCGTTTTCTTGTGGGGACTACAGTGCTTAAAGATCCGGTCAATGTCAAAACATGCCAAAATAGTGTCATCACTCCATGCAAATTATAACCTTTGCCTGGTGCGCCGCTTAAACCCTCTCTAACCCTGGAGCTAAAATCTAAAAAATTTAGCCTTTAAGTCTAGAAATAGTTTTTCTACTTCAACCCTTATAATCTAAAATTTTAGCCCCAAATTATTAAAGAAATAATTTAGGCTAATTGTTTTCTTAAAGTAACTTTTTTAAAAGAAAAAAAATTATGTAGACTATTCTAATTTAATTTTATGAATATTTAACTTATAAATATTTAGATTTTGACCAATATTGAAAAATCACAAACCGACACTATAAAACTTGTTGAACACACATTTAGCATTTAGCTCACACATTTAGCATGGGTTGGGTTTGGGGGAGGGGAATAAAACCTAAAAAATAGCATTTAGCCCAGGGTTTGGTCTTAGGGTAAGTCCAAGTGGGAAAAGAAGATTAGGTAAGGATCGGTCTCATTCGATATAAACAGAAAAGAGAGGGAATGTGATTTTAAATAAGATATCCTTCTTGTGAAATTGTAATGATGTTTCTATCTTTTGTGATAATTTAATTAAATGGTATTGTTGAGAAAGGGGCATACATTTGAGTGCAGTTCCCCCAGAAGGAACCTAAGAAATGTTGACCATAATTTGAAGAGTATTTGTATGTTTTGCTTTCTGGTGTAAGCCTTCATTTTACCCCTACTTGCAAATTAAACAAGAGTATAGGAAACTCAGGATCTGTATGAAGAGAAAACATACCTACACAGTGACATAGCTAGAAATTGAAGTTAGTAGAAGCCTCGAGGCCATATGAAAAAATTAGAAATAATATAATATAATTAATAGGAGAAAAATTAAAGGTTCTTATTTTGTATTGGAATGTAAATTTCTAATCCAAAGAGTAATTGAATCACGAAAAAAAAATGGCATTGAGATCATAACCAGACTTGTTTGTAAGTTTTGTTAAAACAAATATCACTACATTGAAGTTGAACTAAAATAAATAATCATGGCCCAGAACTACAATTTTATGAGATTTTTTTTTAAGATTAATTATTATTCCACTCCATGTGGGTATGGTTTTAATGTTAAACAAAAATACATGCAAAATTGTGAACTAAGAATGGTAGTTGATATAGACTACTTTCATAACAATACGGTAAAACATATTTTTTGACAAATGAGAGAAACAAAAGCACACACCAAAACTTCAAACTAAGAACATAAACAAAAGCATAAAAAGTGAAGAAATTTCAGAATAGGCTCGAGCGTCTCCTGGTCCTCGTATGGCTCCATCCCTATACATTCATATATAGCATATAGCTTCCTAACACTTGTTGTAGGGCTGGTTTGGTATTGCTGTGCTTTGAAAAAAAAATTGCTTATATTGTGCTGTGAGAATAAGCTCATTTTTGCTGCTTTATGTTTTCAGTTTTTTTTCACCAAAAACTATGAAAATAAGATGTTTTAAAGTGTTTATCAAACACGTTTTCGAGCTCAGCTTTTTTTATACTCACTTTTTATAAAAACACATCAATACCAAACCAGTACGTAGTCTTGGGAGACCCCAACACGCTCGGGCCCCCATACCATTTTTTTTTTTTAACAAAACCATACTGTAGTTTATATTCTTATAGTAGTTGGTGGGCTGGTACAATTATTAAAGGGTTCCTTAACTTTGTTTATCATCGTCATAATCTTGCTGGAGTCTATAGAGAGTTAATTATGTCGAGATCAATTTGTCTTGAATCCTATGCTAATTATTGAGTAAATATGCCTGACCTACACACACATATGGAGAGAGCGAGGGGAAGAGTTTCAGTTAAGGAAAGCTTCGAAAGTAAGCTTATTTGAGAGAGTTTTGTAAGATCATTACAACAACAACAACAACAACAACAACAACAAAGCCTTTTCCCACTAAGTGGGGTCGGCTATATGAATCCTAGAACGCCATTGCGCTCGGTTTTGTGTCATGTCCTCCGTTAGATCCAAGTACTCTAAGTCTTTTCTTAGAGTCTCTTCCAAAGTTGTCCTAGGTCTTCCTCTACCCCTTCGGCCCTGAACCTCTGTCCCGTAGTCACATCTTCGAACCGGAGCGTCAGTCGGCCTTCTTTGCACATGTTCAAAATCACCGGAGCCGATTTTCTCTCATCTTTCCTACAATTTCGGCTACTCCTACTTTACCTCGGATATCCTCATTCCCAATCTTATCCATTCTCGTGTGCCCACACATCCCACGAAGCATCCTCATCTCCGCTACACCCATTTTGTGTACGTGTTGATGCTTCACCACCCAACATTCTGTGCCATACAACATCGCTAGCCAAAAATTATTGCCGTCCTATAAAATTTTCCCTTGAGCTTCAGTGGCCTACGACGGTCACACAACACGCCGGATGCACTCTTTCCATCCATCTCGTATTCTATGGTTGAGATCTCCATCTAATTCTCCGTTCTCTTGCAAGATAGATCCTAGGTAGCGAAAACGATCGCTTTTTGTGATCTTCACTAGATTGCTCCGGTCATTAGTGTGGATAAGTATATAAATGGATAGAGATAGGAAAGCAAACACAAGATGTACGTGGTTCACCCAGATTGGCTACGTCCACGGAATAGAAGAGTTCTCATTAATTGTGAAGGGTTTACACAAGTACATAGGTTCAAGCTCTCATTTAGTGAGTACAAGTGAATGATTTAGTACAAATGACATTAGGAAATATTGTGGGAGAATGATCTCGTAATCACGAAACTTCTAAGTATCGGAGTGTGGTGTCGTCTTGACTTGCCTTATCTGTCTCATAGGTAGATGTGGCATCTTCTCTGGAAGTACTCTTCCTCCATCCAGGGGTGGTATCTTTAACTGGTGGAGATGCACAAGGTAATGTATCAATTTCACTTGAAGCTTACTTGTAGTTTCAGGCTTGGTCAAGCGCGATACAAACCATGTAGTAGGAGTCCCCCAAGTCGCCGAGCTAGGGGGTCTGCTGAAAAGAGGTGACAGACAAGGTAAGCAATCAGAGCTCCGACTGATTGTTCACCTTCTCCCCATCTTGCAGCAGCATGAAGGATAAAGAGAAGAAAAATGAGAAGAGATGATATGAGATACTTTTGCTTTTGAAGAAGTAACTTTCCACAGGCTTATTCTTGAACTGAGCTGGAGGGTTTTCTGGTTTTCTCCAGAGTATAAGGCCGACTGAAGAATTTGAGGGTCAAAACAAGTCCATCAAATCTAGAGTACGTTCCACCCTGCTGATATGAGATACTTTTGCTTTTGACGGAGTAATGAATGTATCGGCACGTGTGCTGTTACGCTTGTCTCCACATGCTTCCTTGTATCCTTCGCACTTGCCCTATCTGTTCCTCAAGCAGATGCGGAATCTTCCCTGGAAACATAAGATGTTGAAGATGAGTACTCGAGAGCAATGCCAGGTAAGTAATCAGGTAAGGGGTTTCAGGCAGTCAGTTCCTGGCTGGAAGCTTGATTCCAAGTGCTGACTGATTGCTCTCTTTCTCCTTGTCTTGCAGGTAAAAACAAGGCCAAAAGAAAAGACAGGGAAAAGCATGATATGGGATACTCTTGCTTTTTAACCCTGATGATATGAGATATTCTTGCTCTAGTATAGCTTGTTTGCAGAGGTATTATCGGGGGGAAAGAAAGCTGAAATATTTCGAAAGGCTTCGTTGGGAGTGCCCTCTCAGATATGATGAAGGGTTGAGCATTTTTGCAGGTCTGCCTGTCCGTTGGGGATGGAGGTCGACATATATAGGAGTCTCTCCTAACAACAAGTAGTAATGCTATTCCTTTACCCTGCTTGGTCATAGCACGGTAGTGGGAGCTGCCAGTTTCACATGTTTTAACTCTGTCAGAGCACTTTGAAAAAGTGGTCTGTGGTATCTGGCTCTCGAGATTCGGAGAACGATGCCTCTTCGATTTTTGAGAAAGCAATCATGCTGGGGGTATGACTCTCGAGATTCGGAGAGCAGTGTCTCTTCGATTTTTTGAGGAAGTAATCATGTTGGGAGTCTGGCTCTCGAGATTCGGAGGGCGGTGCCTCTTCGATTTTGGAGCAAGCAATCTTGTTGGGAGTGTTGTCTCGAATGTGAGTAAAGGTTGGGCATGTTTGCTAGTCTACCTTGCCACGAAGCACAAAGGTTGACACACAGGGACTTTCCAATTATCCAGCAATGGTACTGTTCCTTTACCCTCTCTTCGATTTTGAGAAAGTAGTCATGTTAGGAGTCTGGCTCTCGAGATTCGGAGGACGGTGCCTCTTCGATTTTGGAGCAAGCAATCTTATTGGGAGTGTTTTCTCGAATGTGAGTAAAGGTTGGGCATGTTTGCTAGGCTACCTTGCCACGAAGCACAGAGGTTGACACACAGGGACTTTCCAATTATCCAGCAGTGGTACTGTTCCTTTACAGTTGTGGGTAATAATATGGTAGCTAGACCTTCAAAATTTATGTGTCTAAACTTTTGTTAGTGCTGTTTCTTTGCTATTCTTTTACCTTTCTTGGTCAGAGCGATGTAGTGGGAGCTGCAAGCTTCACGTGCTCAACTTTGGCAGAGAACTTTGGCAAAGTTATTTGTGGTACCCATGAGCTATTGTTGCGTGTGGGAAGTGGGTGATTGAACAGTAAGATTCATGTGCTTTCTACTTCACCAGAAGTCTTCGACAGAATGCCCATAATTTCTGCAAAGCTGAGTGTGCGTGTGACAGGTGCTGACAAGGCTAGAAAAGT